GCCCAGGAACGACGAGCCCAGAGCTGGTTACTCGTTAACCCTCAGCCCCCACTGATACACTGATACATTATCTCCGACCACTGAGCTGAACGCCTGCCTAGGAAAGCAGAGTCCACGCCACGCGGTGCCTCACAGATACGCCGGGCACGCGGTTTGGGATGTATGTGAGAAGGGCCGGCCTTCGATGAGGCTGTCTATGCAAACCCACTGCACAGAGCTGTGTTACGCCCAGGACAAGGTCGTTCAGGAACCGCAGGCTTGTTTGTTCTCACATGTTGGTCCCAACTCTCTCTTTTTTTTTTTGTCAGTCATGGGGCTTGAACTCTGGGCCTGGTGATGTCCCTCAGCTCTTCAGCTCAAGGCGAGTGCTCTACCACTTGAGCCACAGCACCACTTTCAGTTTTCTGATGGTCCATTGGAGATCAGGGTCTCACGGACTTTTGTGCCCAGGCTGGCTTTGAACTGCAATCCTGAGATCTCAGCCTCCTGAGTAGCTAGGATGACAGTCATGAGCCACCAGCGCCCAACTTGGTCCCAACTCTTGAGGATTCTAGATGAGGGAAAGAATGCAATTTGGTTGTGCATGTGTATTGTGCATGTGTGTGTGCGTGTGACAGTACTGGGCTAGCCTGGACTCACACATTCACTCCGCTTTTTGCTCATGGCTGGTACTCTACCACTTGAGACATGCCTCTGGTTCTGGTTTTCAGTGGATAACCAGAGATGAGAGAGAGATGAGTCTCCTAGATTTTTTTTACCTGGGCCAGCTTCATACTCGGATTCTGAGATCGCAACTTCCTGAGTAGCTGAGATCACAAATGTGAGCCACTAGTGCCAGGCAAGAATGCAATTTTAAAGAAATAGTATTCTTTACCTGACTTACAGAACTGTAACCCTGGGCTGGGAAGGTGGCTCAGTGGTAGAGCGCTTGCCTTGCATGCTTGAGGCCCTGGGTTCGATTCCTCAGCACCACATAAGCAAAAAGAAAAAAGCCGGAAGTGGCTCTGTGGCTCAAGTGGTAGAGCGCTAGCCTTGAGCTGAAGAGCTGAGGGACAGCACCCAGACCCAGAGTTCAGCCCCCACAACTGGCAAAAAAAAAAAAAGAACTGTAACCCCTTTGTTCATCAGCTTTATAATAATGATAAGAAACATTTAGGGCTGGGAAGGTGGCTCAGAGGTAGAGCGCTTGCCTTGCATTCATGAGGCCCTGGGTTCAATTCCTCAGCACCACATAAGTAAAAAGAAAAATGCTGAAAGTGGTGCTGTGGCTCAAGTGGTAGAACGCTAGCCTTGAGCTGAAAAGCTGAGGGAGAGCGCCCAGGCCCAGAGTTCAGGCCCACAACCTGACCCAAAAAAAAGGGAAAAAGAAAAATTTAAAAACATAAAATCTTGTATCTCAGAAAGAGTAGAAAAAACAAGTTTGTGCGGGAAAAAGAATGCAGTTTTAATGACTAGATTTGATTCTGTGATTCATTTTTATAAGTGTAGTTTACTTCTACATTAACATGTAAGTATTCATAAAAATTAATTTCCTTGCAAAAGGTGTTTGCAACAGTCTGTCTGTCCTGAACACTGACTGATAAGGTTTGTTTCTTCCCAGCCTGTGTCTACCTTTCCTAAGACACGGCCTGACTGGGCGGGCTCAGAGCCCACTGCTCTCCCCTCTGCGGCCCAGGCCGGCGGGCCAGGCCAGGCCCTGCGGCAGCAGGAGCTCCGCCCAGTCTGTGGCAGTCACCGCCCTGGCCCTCTCTCTATGCCTCGGGCCGTGGCTCTGAACGCCAGGGCCTTGGACCCTGGCGTGGTGGCATGGCAGGGGCGTGCAGCCCCACGCTGAGAGTGCATCCTGGAGCACTGGGCGAGTGTGACCATCTGCTGCCCAGCTTCGCTCACGGAGGGGCGGGGCCTGGTACGAACCCTGGCCGCGGCCAGGCTGACCGCCCCTCTCCAGGCTGAGGCGGGAGCTCAGCTGTCCGCCCGGCTCTGTTCCCACATCCCGAGGGGTCCGCATGACCGCCTGCGGGGCCCCCGCCAGAGCTCGGGGGCTGTGTGCTGGCCGCATGGCGTGGGCTGGCCGTCTCAGCCATGGCAGACCAGAAGATGCAGCAGAGATGTGCAGGCAGCAGGCGCCCGCTGAGTCAGGACTGAGGGGCTCCGGTTGCCTCCACTCTGCCGCAGGGAACACGTGCGTTGTAGGTTCTCAGAGCCGGGCTCTGGAGGAATGCGGGGGGGGGGGCGATGGCCCCGGCTGGACGGGCGGAAGGCGATGGCCCCGGCTGGACGGGCGGAAGGCGCCCCTCCGACTCCCGCCTGACCCAAAGGGATCTCAGTTCATGTAAGAAAGCCAGCCGAAACGCCCGTCCCAGCCCAGCACAGGGCCCAGGCGGGGACACTCCCTCAGCCGCGCCCTGGCCTCCTGGCCCGACTCGCTGAGAGGCCCCACACAGCCCCTGCAGCCACGCTGAGCTCGGCCTAGGCAGCCCCTCTTTGAAAACTCTCGCTCTGGGTGGTGGGTCATCCAGCACCCTGGGGTCCCTGGGGCCTGAGCGGCACCTCTGCATGGACATCTGCAGCTCTCTGGACAGCCTTCAGGAGGAAAGTGCTGCTAGAAACGTACGGTGAGGACCAAGCAGGCGGCGGGCGGCAGGGCCGTGAGGATACCCCCATCCTGCCCTCCTCACACGGACCCACTGCGCCCAGCCGGTGACACCCCACGCGCCCGGCCACGAGACCAGCCTGCCAGCCGCCGCCTCCTCCCCACCGCCCCAGCTCTCTCGGGGAGAGGGGCCTGAGTCTCAGCCGCCTCCTCCCCACCGCCCCAGCTCTCCCGGGGAGAGGGGCCTGAGCCCCAGCCACCTCCTCCCCACCGCCCCAGCCCTCCCGGGGAGAGGGGCCTGAGCCTCAGCCGCCTCTAACCCGGATCCTCCCAGAGGTTTCATTTTGCTCAGAACGAGGACGGTCATTTTCTCCCCCAGACACACGCCACTGCCACACACCTGCAGGAAGCGGAGCCACCCGAGGCCCTGCCGGCTTCCGTACAGCCAGTGACTAGGGCCGGTGAGCGCTGCACCAGCTGCGGACTCCCCTGAGCTGTCCACACTGGGCCAGGCGAACTCTAACTAAGCCAAAAGCAAGCCAACATGGAGAACGGGGAGAGCAGGGAGACATGGAGAGACATGGAGACAGAGAGAGCATGGAAACATGCAGAGCATGGAGACATGGAGAGCAGGGAGATGTGGAGATATGCAGAGCAGGGAGACATGGAGAGCATGGAGACATGGAGACATTGAGAGCATGGAGACATGGAGAGCATGGAGACATGGAGAGCAGGGAGACACAGAGAGCAGGGAGACATGGAGAGCATGGAGACATGGAGACATGCAGAGCAGGGAGACATGGAGACATGGAGAGTATGGAGACATGCAGAGCATGGAGACACAGAGAGCAGGGAGACATGGAGACATGCAGAGCAGGGAGATGTGGAGACATGGAGAGCATGGAGACATGGAGACATGCAGAGCAGGGAGACATGGAGACATGGAGAGCAGGGAGACATGGAGAGTATGGAGACATGGAGAGTATGGAGACATGGAGACATGGAGAGCATGGAGACATGGAGACATGGAGACATGGAGAGCATGGAGAGCAGGGAGACATGCAGAGCAGGGAAAGCGGGGAAAGCAGGGAGAGTTGAACTTCAGGACAGGCTGGCATAGTTTTCTCTGGTGCAACAATGTAACACCACCACAGCAAAGCAATCAATAAGGAGCAGAAACAGCAAGCAGGAGCTGTGGCTGATACTCGTGGAGGGAGCTGCCAAGTCTGTCATTAGGTCACCAGCTGTTAAATGAGCAATTATAGTAAAACAGTTCCAAACACAACCAACAGAGCCACCCTAGCTCGGACACAGTGGAGGCACTTAGCAGTCACATAGGTAATCTGACTTTACCCAAATAAAACTATAAACAGACAAAAGGTGAGATCAGCATTCAGGTTAAAAGACTCCTAATCCAGGGCTGGGAAGGTGGCTCAGTGGTAGAGCGCTTGCCTTGCATGCCTGAGACCCTGGGTTCGATTCCTCAGCACCACATAAGCAAAAAAAAAAAGCCAGAAGTGGCGCTGTAGCTCAAGTGGTAGAGCGCTAGCCTTGAGCTGAAGAGCTGAGGGACAGCGCCCAGGCCCAGAGTTCAGGCCCCACGACCAGACCAAAAAAAAACAAAAGACTCCTAATCCTATGAGGGTCTTTTGAGGGGAGATTATTCTCAGAGACAGTGTCTCCTTATGAAGCCCAGACTGGCTTTGAACTCAGGATTCTCCTGCCTTGGCTCTTTGGTGCTGGGTTTGCAAGTGTGTACTATTACGCCTGGCTTCTAATAATATTTAATTTATAGAAAATAAAATACTGGGGCTGGGAAGTTGGCTCAGTGGTAGGGCGCTTGCCTTGCATACATGAGGCCCTGGGTTCGATTCCTCAGTACCACATAAGCAAAAAGAAAAAAGCCGGAAGTGGCACTGTGGCTCAAGTTGTAGAGTGCTAGCCTTGAGCTGAAGAGCTGAGGGACAGCACC